CCCCAAAACCCCAAAACCCCAAAACCCCAAAACCCCAAAACCCCAAATAAAATTATATAAATTGATCAACCAGAATGGACCATTACTGTCTTAAGGAATACGCTTCTGTAAGTAGTATCTTACTAGCTTAGCTTCCACATTATGTGAAGAAGATGAAGAGTCTCCAAGCCATGCAAGAACAGCTAATAAAGCTGAATGTTTACAATGAGCGGGAGATCTTGAGAATCCAGAAGATCAAGGAGAAAAATAAACCGAAGAAAAGAGTAGTTATTAAAAGAGTTGTACTTAATCCAGATTTTCGAATGGAAGTCGAAGAGGTCAAGTCTGTAAAGAAGAAATAAATCAGCGAAACCTCCCTTATGTGTGAGCCATGGTAGTCCTCAGAAAATCCTACAGAGATGTAGTGATTTTGTAGAGAGAGGGAAAGACGAGTCGTTTATGAACTTGTCTCTGGCAAATTATTTACCCCAAAAGCACAATGGCAAATAAGTCTCCTGACTCGTTATTCTCTCCAAGTATTTCTGAGTCACAAACTTTGGAGTCAATAGATCATTCTCCAGGTAGCAAGCAACGGAGTTTTCTCCAAATGATTTACAACCGTGTTACCAAGAAAAAGTTTTTGGAGAAGCAGAAATTAAAATTTATGAAGAGTCGTGGTAGGACCAAGCATCCTTCTGACTATGAAGAATATGAGCTTAACACTCAGAGGATCGATAACCTGGAGGAAATCCTTAGAAACATCAGGGAGAAAAGTGTTCACAAAATCCATATTAAGAATATCAAGGAGTCATTCCAATCCGGTCCTGAAATTATGGGTATAATTTAATTTAATCTTTAGCATATGCTGACAAGTTAAAGGAGTACCAGACGAAGTTCTTGTCTCATCTTCTAAAGAAGAGGAAGACCCAGGAAAGTGAGCTAGTGGATATAAATAATAGCTTACTCAAGAGAATAATGAATACAAAGTAGGTTGATAAAATTTACCTGTTTGGGAAAAATGCATAAAGTGAATTACCCTGACCGCTTTATGCAAATAGCTATCTTAATACTAGCAGCAAGGATTTTATGTAGTTTAAGCCATTCTAGTGGTACCTGACTTATACATCATAGGCTTGAGAAGAATAAAAGTTTGTTTTGTAAGCGAGAGGACTATTACAGAATGAAGCTATCAAAATCAGTCAGATTTTCAAGCTCTCCTCTCCGTGCAGGATCCAAAATGTCAAATAACAACTATGGATCGACTGAATCCTACTTCCATGGTCGGAGATCTGTTGCGAGAAGATTCTGACCCCCAATCTCTTCACCTGATCTTTCATTGGGAAACAGGAACAGAATGAGATTCACTGCAAGGATAGAGATGGAGCCTACTGCCTCATTTAGCTAGGTTTCACCAGTAAATATAAGCATGTTGAATTTTATTTAATCCTATCAAAGAGGAGAGGGGTTTTGGGGTTTTGGGGTTTTGGGGTTTTGAGG